TTCCTTCGTTTCACTTCGATAAAAATCGAAAGCCTCTTTCATCTCTCTCTCTCTCTCTCTCTCTCTCTCTCTCTCTCTCTCTCTCTCTTCTCTTTTTCTCTTTCTCTGGGGGTATTATTATTTCTAAGAGCGTATCGAGAAGGCACGTATATGCGGGTAAAAGATAGTCACCCGTTGATTGTAACAAACTTTTATATTCTCGAATAATCAAGGAAGATATTTTGAAATAAAAAAAAATAAAAAGAATAATACAAAACCTTTTTGATAATAAGCGTATTCGTTTATTTATACGTTTCAATAAATTAACAACCCATTGAATACTACATTATTTGAAGATTTTTATGCATATATATATATATATTGGATTTAATTTGTTACTATATGGAATAATATGCAAAAGTAATACATTTTATTTTGGAATATATTTATAAACATATTTTTGCAAGAACATTTTAATTAAAAAATATAAATCAATATATAAATGAAACAAAATAGAAATATTCATATATTTGATATATTTATACAAAAAGTTAATTTATCACGGTGTAGATTAAAAAAAAAAAAAACAGATGTGTGCAGATCACACACGGTAGAAGTGAAACCTTCAAAGAAAACCAAGCTTCGAGACGTGAATATATCGAAATAATTGAATTGTAATACAGTGCCATCTATTGAAAGAACCTTACAGAGCCTAGATAACCTCTAAATAAAAATCTTTAAATAAGTAATAAAAAATAATACAAAAAAAACAAAACATTGCGATAAAAATTGTTCTATGTTCTAAGTTAAAAAAAATCACGTGAAATAAAATGAATTTCATTAAAATAAGTTGAGTAGTTTCGAAATTATTAGGGGACAATCATATATATTGTTATACTGAATTTTTATATATAAAATTTTATTAATTATTTAATTAATATATAGAATTAAATAATATAGAATTAAATTATATATTGAATTTATTTAATTAATTAATTAATTATTTTTGTTTCATCGGTTTCACGTTCTTCCGTTTCACGATTTTCAAATCCCCCATATTCTAAAGAAGTTTTCACTTCAAAAAATACAACAAAAAATTACATAACATACATTTTTGGTAACTTACCGTACACGTATCATACATGTACCATATCATTTACCATTTTATTTCCTTAAACCTTTTTACAATTGTATCAACGTGTACTAATTATAATTATTATTTTTATTTGAACAAAAGATACTTTATTCGAATCGACTCGAAATTTCCTTTCGTTTTTTGTAAGAGAAATGAAGAGAGGTGGAGAATGTAAAGAAGAAGGATGAATAGTAGGAGGATGATGAAGAGAAGGAGGAGGAGGATGAAGAACGAACAGAAACTGGGCGTGTGAGAGTTTGGTTCGATGAAAAGCCAAAGAGTACGAGTGGTTAGAAGCAGAGGACTTGTATTTCTATGTATATGTGTGTGAGTGTGTGTGTGTGTGTGGTGGACAGTATCAGATATGCTTCGATAAGCATAACAGGTCAAAAGTTTACGCCCCCTTTTGCTTGTTTCACCGTAAAGGAGTTCTCTC